ATATACACAAACTACAGAGGATGGCTACCACCAACGGTGGTAAAACGTCACATGCAACGAGAACTGCTCGCTTATTTCAAGAAGCATAAATTACCTATGGATTACTACCCTTATTACAGACGCCCCCGAAACACCACCACCAGAAAGAAACAATAGAAGCACAAAAGGTGTTTCATGGCCTAACGATAGTAGATTTTGACAAACAAAATCTAGGAAGGGGACTGTAATGGCTCCAAGGGAAACCCTCGGAATCCTCTATATTGGCATGACTCAAACGTGATTGTCAGAGCAAGCCACAAAAGGGGATTCTTAAAGCCACATTGGATTAGGTAATTCTATGAATATAAATTACTGTAAGAACGACTGAATTCTTCAGTCGTTCACTAACAGTGTTTTCACACCGTCTACCTTAGATTGTGAATAACCATTAAACTTATCTTGACGACTTTTAAGCGAAGCTTATTCAATTAAGGTGTTCCTATCTGAGATAGATAGTTTGTCACCGGACATTCGTAATACAGCTCTTTTACGAGAAACAAGACCCTTCACGGAATCCCGCCGTGACAAAAGTGAACGACTCTGTTTCACAGTTAAAGAACTATACGAACTAAGTCGGATTGTCGCAAAGCCGACCATAAGCGACCACCATCATGTCGCCTCCGAGAACCCCATTGGTCAATTACCTTCCCGAATCGGGACCCCCGTCGCAAGGCGATGCAAGCGAAACCATAAATGAATTAATCAAGATGGTCGCTGAATCGCATAAGGAACTTATGAAGGAAAGGGCGAAAAATGCCGAAAGAAGAGAAAGGGAAACGGTGCCAATTGCGGAAAATATTGATTACCGCGAGGGCCAGGACCCATCTGAGTTTATTGAAAAACTCAGATTTTTCTTCAAGAAATACTATGGGAAATTTACAGAAGAAGAAAAGACCGAACGATGCCTTCTCCACATTCCGGACAGATACCTTAAATATTACGACAAAACCCAAATCAAGGAAAAGAAATGGGAAGAAGTTGTTTGCGAAATATTAAAGGTAGATCTGCACAGACATAAAAAAGAATTAATTGCAAAAATCCGTGAAGCATATAAAAAAGGAGAGATGAAGAAGGCTCACGGGGAGTTAAAAAAGTTTTTTAATTACCCTGGAATGACAGAGAAGGAAGCCTGCAAGTTGGTCATGTTCGTCTATGACGACGACGCAACTTGGAATTATGTTTGGACAAATGAACTCTATGACAAAGATCCCGTGACTCTTTTGGATCTAATTTATGACTTCGCGCCGGTTAAGCGTCCGGAAAAGCGAAAATACGAGGAACGAACATACCCAAGTTCCAACAAAAGGTTCAATTATAATAAGGACTACAAACCAAAGACGTTCAACCGACCAAACAATACGTGGACTAAACCAGCTACGTACGAAACAAACCACACGCCAAAGAAGGATGAAACCGAGAACTCAAGCTGACTACTTGAGACCGTTGTGGACTTTCTGGGTAACGACAACGGCAGAATCCCTTTAGAAAGGGACGGTCAAATATTTGTAAACATTTACATTTACAAACTACAAATCGTGGAGGCGGCCCTTATTGACACTGGGTCGAATGCTAGCGTCTTATCCCTAAACTTTGCTAGTAATCATAAAATCAAATTTACCAAGTATGATTGCCCGAGAGTTGCGCGTTGCGCGGGATCAGAGAAGTTAGCGATAATGGGAGAATGCGAGCTCGACATTCGACTCGAAAACAAACGGATCACGGTAAACTTCAAAATTATCAAGGATGTTTTACCGGATATCTACATCGGTACAGATGTTTTACAGAAAGAAAAAGTCAATATTTCCTACGGATATGGGGGAATGTCTATTGGAGAGTCATCTGACTCCAACGACTACGACATCC